GGGCTTAAAAGCCTGAATTTTGCCTGAAACTCTCAGACTGAAGAAGTCTCTTGGAGGAGAGACTAAATGTTTCATTAGAGAAGAACCCGTCCAGAAGACCTATACAATTTTTTTTCTTTTTGAGTTCTAATAGACATAAATCTTAGCAGTGGATAAGGAGTCACAGGTCAAGAAGCCTTTCATCCTTGAGCAGGTGAAAAAGTGTAAGGGTCCTTTATCATAGTGATGAAAGTCAACAGCTCTTTGATTCAGCCCTAAAGCAATGTGTGACTGAAAACCTGTCAGTGTTAATGTAGGGATGGTATTACTTCCAAATTATTTTAGTGACTAACTTTACTGAGAAATAAACTTTGTAACACACATGTGTTGTATTATCATTAAAACGGATAGATTCAGCCTTTAGTTTTGTTCAGAGTACTCTGTTTGAGCTTAGATCTGGAGTGTTGGAAACGTAACATCCAAGCGGACACGTTATAAACTCGCTCTCCTTATCTCACATAATCACCTGTATGACATATTACGCTCTGCCAGAGCCTTCCAGTCAAATGCAATTTGCATTTGCACCCCTTTTCAGTCGTAGTCTGCAGGCAATCAATTCCAGCAGCACACTGAGGGCGACTGCGAACGCTTCAGGCGATGGAACGAGCGTCAGTCACCTTGTTTTGTTGGAGCACGCTCCTCTGTATACAGGTCCACAGGCTTTTGGGACATGATTTAAAATTGAAACGCGAGTGCCACATCAAAGTAACGGACTCGTAACCGCTCGTTTGCATCTGTAAAATAAAATCATAAGCGACGTCGCATAACTCAGGAATCATCGGTTTGGATTTAGTTCTGATCCAGTGTGAAGTTAAAGTTGACTCTGTGTCCAACCTAGTGAAGTTTTTGTTTACTTTGCATAATGCTGCCTTGTCTTTTTAAACATTCATGAAGCTTAAATAATCAGTTTTCCAACCACCCATTTCAAACAGTGTTATTACAAGTTTGAGCTGCAGCATGTCCTGATTTTTCCTCACCCATTAAAGTATGCTAATGACTTTTTTTTGTTAATTTAACCCTGAAATAATAACATATCTGCCAACATGCTGGAAGGAAGAAGGAGGAAGAAGAGAGTTTGATGTCTTTGTTTTCTTTCCAGCTGTATTTACTGACTTGAAGTCATCAAAAAAAAAGTCTTGTTTTCCATCAAGCATGACCCCAGAAGCCTGTTAGAGAGTTATAGTTGTGTTTTGTGTCGGTGGAGTGTCTATGTTTTCTTTTTTTTTATTCCTGGAAGAGCAATGTGACAGAGTTTTGATAGATGCTGCACACAAAAGCAAAGGAAACAAGGTCTGATCGTTTATTCTTTCCTCCTCTCTTTCCCCTCTTCTCTCCTTCCCTTCCTCTCTCTCTTTTATTTGGGCCCCACTCAATCATTTTCTCCCTCTATCCGTCTTTGAACCAGGGATGAAGCTGAGATGGAATATTTAAAAATAGCTCAGGACCTGGACATGTATGGCGTCAATTACTTTTTAATCAGGGTGAGTCTATGCTGCTTTGCAATTTTATTACAAAGTAAGTTAATATCAAGGAGTTTTATGCATATCAGCTTTACCACACTGTTATGAAACTCACATATTTGCCCATTAAAACATGTTTCTGGAGTTTTGAACTTACACACACACACACATACATATACAGTATATGTAT